AGCACATTGATGTGCGGTTTCATTTTCTCAGGGATCTTGCTAGAGATGAAACTATTGAGCTTCTCTTTTGCAGAAGTGAAGATCAGGTTGCGGACATAATGACAAAACCTTTGAAGATTTCAGCTTTTCAAAGGTTAAGGAAGCTGTTGGGTGTTTGTGAGTCTGCTTAAACTGAGAACATGCTCAACGTTTCAGTTTAAGGGAGGGAATGTTGAAGAATAAGTAATGTTGAATAAGTCCAATGCTGAATAAGTCTAGTATTGACTCAGTATTTTTAGTACTCCGTATTAATCAAGTTTGTTGTCCTATTCTTTAGGAAGTAGCTGTACACTTCTATGGCTTTCCTTCTTTTTAGCAGATATAGTTTCTTTCATGTATGGCCTATAAATTGGCTTTCCTATGGAATAATATATCATCAAGTTCTTCTCTGATTCCTCTGTTGATTTCCTGAGTTCTCCAATTTATATTAGTTTCATATATTTCTTCTTGTTAAGGTTGCTCACAACCTGTTTGATAAAAGTTCCCAAAGAAACCCAGTCTACATTAACAATACAGAGTAAAATTATTAGCAAAATCCGATTAAAAAACAGCAGCTTTTGCTCTTTCCCGGGAAACCTAGCCAAAAATATGTTATGTTGCTTATAAATTATTACCAAATGAGGATTAGGAGCTTGCTTCTAACAGTTCTAAGCTTCTTCCTTTTGTCTAATTGATTTTTTTTAGACTTGTGAAAACAAAAGTGATACTTTTGTATCTGGTTTTTTTTTCTTTCTGGATTTGGATGTTTGAGTCTGATGCAAACTTTGTGAGTTCTACTTTATGACATGCATCTGATTTTAAATTATTAATTTTACAAAAGTTTAGATACTTCTTTGGGTTTTAGATTATTCAAATTACTTGACATTTTGGAAATTTACGATACCGGTAATTGTCTCTATTGTTTCTCATCAAGTTTTAATCTGATTTCGTGAATTTCTTATTTCAGGTATAATTTTTAAAGGCAACAAAACTCCTGCTTGGAGGTGGCCAAAAGGTAAACAGAAAATGACCCTTTTGCACTTGCTCGTATTTTGTGTTTTTTTTCTTGCAATGGAGCTTTATACCCAAGTTTTCTAGCCCATGCCTTAGCACTCTCATTTGAACACAGACTACTTTGACTGTTAGATTTAGCCTATATTGTTCGCCTTTTTACTAAATCTTGTGATATGTGCACAAAATAATACTCTTTTAGCGAGCCACAATGTGATTACGGAGTAATAAAACTTCTTTGATCTTTCTATTGTGTTCATCGACTATCTCAAATTTTGCTTACCTTTTTATTGCAGTCTAGAGGTCTCTCTTCAGTTTATGGCTTAGCTAACATTGTATGTGGTGTATTCATTTGTTTCCCTTATTACAGGTTTGACAGAGAAAAGGACAGGCTGCTAGAATTTCTTTGATCATTCTTGTGTTAGTGTAAAACTTCTATAATTGTTGGTGATAATTATGGAATTTTGAAATATATCCTTGTAAAATCTTTGTATCTCTTGGAGTATTGGCATTCATTTCGCCTACTTTTTTTATATAAAATTTTCTGTGTTTTGCGCGATGAGTAAGGTTGTGTTACTTGTGTAGCATTCGTGTGTTGCTCCGCATAATTTTGAGGTCTTGGAGAAAAACTAAACAAATGGATTCCTTTGGAAAAACAGTTACCTTTTCTACATGTGTATATGTTTCTACGTGACAAAGATAACCACAGACAAACAAACAGCTTAACAATACCCACAATGCATAAAATTTGGGTTGAGAATTAGTGTGACTATAACATTGTTCTATTTGCAATTAGGATTTGAGTTTTAAAACAACATTTTAATGTTGCTAATGGATATGCTCTCATCGGCCTACGAACGTGGCCTACCTCCTCGGCCCGCCGGGGGTATGTTTTCGGACTCATCCTAGTGTAGTAGCCGCTTAGTTGTTCCAGTGTAGGAGGAGCGGGGCTGGGGGATAGGGTGAGGTATTTAGGAGACAAAAATCATCAATTTTGTAAATTTACCACTCTAGCCTCTAGGTGCTCTAATTGGAGTTGGTGTTCCTAATGTGGCTGGATACTTACCTTTTTTATAATGAGTATTATGATTTCACTTCCATTTGAAATAATTGTTTTATTTATATTTTTTATACTTCATCCGTCTCATTTTAAATCACCCTTTTGACTTTTGAGCATATTTAAGGAAGAGAAAAAATAAAGTTGACTTTCTGAAATTGCCATTACTTTTTAGAAGAGGTGACGATGAATGAAAAGATAATGTGAAGAAAAGTGACTTATTTTAGAGGTAGTTTTGATATTTTACTCTTAAAAGTTTACAATAACAATAAACAGACAACTTATTTTGAGATGGAAAAAAAGGAAAACAGAAAATTTAAAATGGGGCAGAAGGAGTACATTTCAATTATGATATGTTTGAGAACTTGAACTTTGATTTCAAATTTAGGTCTAGGTCAAATTCGATAAAGAAAAATATCTGTTTGGTTTTTTTTATTAACCTCGGAAGGAAGTTAATGACACTTATAATGTAAATTTAGTAAAAATAAGTTTTTTTTAAATATAGTTTCGAAATATCAAATTTTTATAATCCGTAATATTTAATTATTTTAAACTATATTTAACTCATTGTCAAAGGTGTCACAATTTAATCAAAAAAGTCAAACTGTGGCAATCTTTTTGGGACGGAAGGAGTATAAAATATTGTGCCCGAAGAAATTATTAAAGACTCTTTTTTAACATTGAGTATTAAGTTTCCACTTCCCTTTCAAAAAAAAGAATTGTATAATTCCTATTAGATTTTTCTTATCTATATACATTTGAAAATTTAAACCATATAACTTAAAAATTTCATAACAATTCTAGTGCCTCAAAGGCTGGAATCTTATTGATGAGGAAGGAAAAGAGTCATAATATATTAGTGGAGGTACCCTGCTTTGCTGATGCCCCAGGCAAGGAATCTCACAAGCTACCACATTTGAAGAGAAACCCAACTTATTTACAGCTAACAATGTGAGGCTTCCTAGCTATGGTGCAATTCTCATCACAAATGGGAATCTATACTTGAAGTAGTCCTACAAAACAATGCAAAAGATTCTCTTGCTTTCCCATTAAAAAAAATCAGTTAATCCAATTGCTTTTGCCCTTTTCACCCTTTCACCTAAACACAGTATATAGATACACACACACACACACACACACACACATATAGTAGTGCACATTTTGTAGGCCTCAATCTCATCATCTTTAGCTTCACCATTTTACCATTTGGTGGCAAACATGATGATGACGACGATGACAACGAGGATGGCAACGACAATGGCAACCTGGGTTTGCTTCCTCTTCATCAGCATGGACATCGCGGCTGGGATACTCGGCATCCTAGCACAGAGGGCCCAAAACAAGGCAAGATTACATTACAACCTTAACCACACATTTAATACGTCTTCATGTCAAGAAAACGTACAATTATTGAACGGGTTTGTCTGTGTGGCACGCGCAGATGCCGTACGAGAAAGTGTTGATAGTGGAGTGCTGGGAACCAAGCTACAAGGCGTACGGGCTCGGGTTCGCAGCCTGCGTCCTTCTGGGAGCAGCTCATGTGTTTGCTAACATGTTGTGTGGCTGTTTTTGCTTCGGTTCCAAAGCTGAGCTCGGGCGCGCCTCTCCTACTAGGCAACTAGCCACGGCTTCCCAAGTCTTCTCTTGGTAATTAACTAGATCAATCATATCATTCGCGCCCCGTAATTTTTGCCTATTATAAACTCAATCAATCGACAATTTAAATTTTAAACTACACTATTGTTGGAAGCAGGATCACAGGCTGCATTGCCTTTATATTGCTGGTCATAGGGACAGTGTCGAACGCGAAAACAACAAAGACGTGCGGGCTGTCGCGCAGACACGTGCTCGTTGTCGGAGGGATTATGTCTTTCGTTCACGGGCTCTTCCTCGTTGCTTACTATGTTGCTGCCTCTGCTGTTGCGGATGAAGATAGAAGAATGATCAGACAACAAATGGGTGTTGGTCCATACAGACCACCAGTAATGCCTGCTGCCCCTCTCCCACTCTCTGTTTGATTTAAAACCATATATTCTTCACATGTTGTTCCAATGGTAAATTCTAATTTATTTGGTTTATTCTTTTATTGGTTTAATTTTGCCTTCTCTTTCTGTTTATGATATGAGAATCAAATACGGCTTTGTAATCCAACAAGGCCATCATTGTCATTTGTAGCACGATTTTTAATTAATTGATTGATTCCTCCTTACATATGAATTTGACATTTTATTATCCTTATTACTGTAATGTTAATTAATGTTTAAAAAATTAATTGATAGACTTTATTTCATTATGACACAAGGGTCTATTTTTTTTGTGTTGTCCCGGACTCCCGATTCATCGGCCCGTGTTTAGTACTAATGAGCTTTGTTAGTGGGGCTCATAATTAGGTCAATCATGTAGTTATTATAAATAGCGGATTTATGTTAAATAAAATAAAGTCAAGTACTTAAAAATCACATAAAATATTTATCCAGTCAAATTTCATTCATTGTGTTTGTTTATTTTCACTATTTATCTTACAATACGCAATATAATATAGTCGTGTCATTTCTTATTTTACAAAACCTTTTATGCGAGTATTTACTTTAAGTAACATTTTTTTGTTTTATACTTTTAATCAAATAAATTGAATACAAATTTAATCAAATATGGTTAATTAGAATAAAAAAATTTAATTTTGGGATAAGGGAAACAACCATGCACGAGGTACCCCATGAAATGTACCCCAATTTGTACACCAAAACTATATACTAATATTTTAATGATTCACATTAACACAATATTACAGTGCGATCGAAAATTTATGCACTCCAATTTGGTGCTTGGGTGAACCATCACCCCAACATCACATTGATACAAAATAAAGATGTATATATTTAGTGTACAATTTGAGGCACAACTTTTTAAGTAATTGTAAGCGGACTCACGCAGTGCTAAAATTTTTCTAAACTTCAATAAACTCATTCTTAGGGGTGAATGTGGTACGGTATGGTACGAAATTAGGTTCGTATTGATACCATACCAAATATTTTGGATCAGTATAATATTTTACATCATACTGATCCCGATCCTGAAGTATCGGTTATTTAGTTCGGTATGGTTCAAAATGGTGCGGTTTTGATTTCGATAATAGTGGGATGAATATATATACGAACCTAGCACTAAATACTAATCCGACCATTCGATTTGGTACGATGCACTTTTTTTTTTTTTTTATCAATTTTGATAGTATTTTTCAATTTAGTAATCACTATTATTTCGAAAAATTTCAGGATCACTTTCGTACCAGTCTCTCATTCTCAAGGCCCAACAATACAAGAGGGTGGTAGCAAAATTAGGGCTTAGACATTTGGGCAAGGCGCATGTCTATATAAGCGATCGCATTCCCACGATCTTCATCGTCTGTGAACCAGATCTTCTCATTGGGGTTTTGGGTTTCGATTTTGTGCTTGTTTTGATTACACCGATGAGGAAGAATTCCCAAAAAATAGATAGGAAGTGCCGTATGACACTCCAAACCGCGGCGGTGGTTCCCGGCGGCGTATCCCCTCCCCCGCCTTAAATTGTTTGGTACTCTTTTCGGTATGTCCTATTCGCCGCCCTCCACTGCCGCTGTGCGTGATTTGGGAAGGGTCTCTGAGGTTTTTATTTTTAATCTATGCCTCTTTTTGTACCGGTTTCGCCTCTGATGTGAATTAGAAGGGTTCGTGCCACGTCGCCGGTAGCTTTTACGAGCATTGACCGGCGATGCTACGAACGAACCGAAACCAAAGTGTTTTCGCATTATATAGGAAGCTATGGATGGATATATTCTATTCCTCTGTAGAGCCGTCTGTGCGATAACATCTCTTGATTTGATATTTATTTACAAATTTTTGTATGATTTGATCGGAGAAGGCCTATGAGGATTCGTTATACTATTTCTGGAATTACCGTCTGAAATTTACTGTGAAGATAGATCGACTATCTGAGGCTTCTCTCCATCCTTCTCTAATTTCCTATATTCATACTGTATTTTATTACTGGACTTTTATGAAATTTTATTGATTTGTAACCTTTTTTTTTATGTCCCATAATTGGTTATATTTTTTTCTTATTTCTTGATAACTTTGACATCCTTTGTTTAAAAAATAAAGTTTTTGTTGCGCTTTATAATATTTGATTTAAGTTATTTTTAAATTATTGGTATGGAATAAAAAACAACTGATGGATGTATTCTATTTTATGTGAATTAGAAGGGTTCGTGCCACGTCGCCGGTAGCTTCTCCCAGCATTGACCGGCGATGCTACGAACGAACCAAAATCAAAGGGCTTTCGCATTATATAGGAAACTACTGATGGATATATTCTATTCCTCTGTAGAGCCGTTTCGTGCGATAACATTTCGTGATTAGATATTTATTTACCAGTTTTGCAACATTTGATTGGAGAAAGCCGATGAGGATTAATTTATACTCATTCTGGAATTACCGTCTGAAATTTACTGTGATGTCCGATCGACTATCTGAGGCTTCTCCCCATCTTTCTCTATTATTAATATTCCAAATGTTACTCTTTGATTTATGAAAATTTTAAACGTTGGTAATTTTTTTTATTTTAGTTCTACATTTAATTGTTAATGATTTGGTGAAGTAGTAGTTGGTTTCTTGCACGTTCCATTGATGTTCCATTCAACTTCGTAGTCTTGAGAATCCTCTTCGGATGATGAAGAAGGACAAATCATGCTTGCATCTCCTACAGGCCGCCATATCTTCACACCAGATGAAAGGATTGCCTATAATATTTTATACTTAGAAAATGTATTTACCATGTCACTAGGACCTTGCAATAAAGGAAAAATATGGTGCATTTACTGAAGAGAGTAATTATTTTTTACAAGTTAGGTTCAATTGGTTCAGTTTGTAAGCATGTAAATAGAGTTGCTTCAGTTGGGAATTGATTAGAATAATGCAAGCCACGTTCACCACATTTGGTGAAGTGGGCATTTTTGGCATCTAACAAAAACCCAACACTCAGCCAGCTTTATGAATGATAAATCTAAGCTGAGCAAACGAAAAAGAAATCACATCCCCATCTCATACAAACCATTGACACTAATTTTGAAGTTTCTTGGATGCTGTTGGAAGAGTTTACACAAATGAATGCATCCAGATGCACATTATGCATTGAATCAATCAAGAATCAATACAACAAAGAATATCACCTTGGAGTTGAGACCTGTCCGTAAGTGCATTGCTTGTTCAGCAGACTCAATCATGCCCGCAATACAACATCGTGAAACTAGTTGAAAACAAAATCAGTGAACACCCAACTACGCTACCAAGCGATGCAATTCTTGAATAACCCATTCGTAACAACTGTGAGAGAGCTGCCTGAAATGGAATAGCCACACAGCAAATACATATTAAGGTGCAATTATGTGTAACGAGAGTGCATTGTTTAGGCAGCTCCATCAATTACAAATACTCCGTGGATGAGTGCTCTCCTGGATTTCCAAAGGGTTCCCATTGTAAATAGAGAGCGTAAACTATAAAACAAGTACGATTGTAAGGATTGTTTGGCTGTAATGGGGGAGAACGGTGCCGTATTGTTTGACTGGTTGGCGAGATGTTAGGGACCTCAGAAGGCCACACAAGCGCCATGAGATATGTTGGGCTCTAGCTTGTGAAATTTGGCTAGTGAACAGCTTATTTTAAGTGCATGCGAAGAAAGTTTTTGATGGGGTCTTGAAGGATCACTCAAATAAGAGTTCAAATCCTCTGTGTTTGCTTCTCACTCCGTTTATTTCCGTAGCTATAGTGTTGGGAAAACAAATGAAGAGTAACAATGTGTGGTTTGATCCCACCATTTCATTTATTTCCTTCAAAACACAGTGCATTAACTTACAAAACAATGGGATTGATACCTCAAGATAGAGTACATTGACAGCTCTGCTGGTTTTCTCAAGCTGAAGTCCTCTCGCTAGAGTTATCTGTGAACAGGCAAGTGCTGTAAAACCCATAGTCTGATAGAAATTATTTTAACACAAACGTGTAAGAAATAATGGCCAAGTTATGGAACCTCAGCGAAGAAAGCCAGCACACCAAGTACAGTCATAAGTAGCAGAGAATAGCAACTGGGAAGCACAAAGTTCTGCACCAGTAATAATGAATTAAGTGGTTTAATCATGACTACCAAAAAAGTGTTTGGCATTAAGCATCTATTAATGATTTGTTTTCAATGAAACTAAATGTATTATGGAGGAAAAAATGATTTTAGCCCAAAACATTGTTAGTGAAAAATCACACTTTAGTGCTTATTCAAGAAAGCACCAGTTTGGCGCATTTAAAGAGAACAGTTGGTTCTGAAATGAGAAAGCAATTTCCTTTTAGTACTTAGAGCAGAGGTCATGCTAAACCGGTTATAAACTCTAGAATGAATGAAAAAAAACAATACACAGAGCATCTTCTACTCTCTAAGCATTGACATGCCTAGTGCCCTAGTCATTATCTGTCCAACTCTAAGAACAGGTGTTGTTAGATGCTACCCATATGGGTTGTGTGCTGATGGGCTTTACGCTGTTATATCCCTATCTCCCCCTTCTCCCCTCCTTTTGGTATGTTAGTTTGGGCAACTGTGTTTTAATGGTCCCGAACACCATGTGGGCACTACCCGCATGGGCAGCATCAAACAATCCCTGTAGGCACTAACAAATGTTAGATTACTTGCAAATATTATTTCAGATCGGGTAGGTTGTAAATATTGACTTTTAGACACTAATGACATGTTCGCTACAACATTCTTATGCATGCAAATGCACCACTTTTCTTCCTGGAAGTAGTTAGCACTAACAATTGGTAATTTTAATTTACAAAGTAGCATAGGATTACCCGACCTATACTCTTCACTCTTTAATTCTCTCTCTAAACTCTTTACTCTTTACTCATACTTTGTTAGTGCTACTATGATTTTGCTTGCCTGTACTTTTGTATTTGAATCAGGGGATCTCTCGGAAACAGCTTCTCTACTTCCAAGTAAGGGTAAATTCCGCGTACACAACCTCCCCAAACCCTAATTTATGTGGGATTTTACCAGGTTTGTTGTTGTAAAGTAGCATGGACATGAACAAGGTTCTTACTTCGAAGGCGAAGGTACAAATTCCAGCAGCAGGGCTTGCAAACAGACCAAATGAGAAAACCGTGAGCCTGAAAATTAATATCCAGAAAGGGCAGAAACACAAATGCAAAAAACAAAATACTTTGTTAGCCAAACTTGTTAAGCCACAAACAACTTAACAGATACAACTCATAAGACTTTCAGTCTCTTCAAGGGGTGATGACCTCTAACTACCAAATCTCTTCCATGTTAATGAAATAGAGTTAATTACTGGCAAATCGATGTTACTACGAACACAAGAGTACTTTAGGAAATGTAAAGGAAAAAAACTTGGGCCATTTTAAATGCTCAAAAGAAACAAGATTTAACAATGCAACTTGCAAGGAAAGGCTTATGTTGCAAGCCAAAAAGACACTCTCTAAGTTCTCTAAAAAGATAAAAAACTTCAGACAAATGAAAGTGCCGGTAGGGTCACTGAAGAAAACAGTTGTCTTACACTGGTTGATCCGTTTTTTTAGCTCCTGCCCTTATAAGGCAGTAGCTGATTCCAGCAGCAACAGATGAGCTTAGACCAGCGAAAACTGCATAAATATGATAGTTTCCGTTGACATATGCGTCATTAGCTTCTCCAATATCTGGAAAAGATCCTGTAAGAAGTCCATAGTGATATAGGAAAATTGTTATCATCTTTTTACAATCGTTTTTGTCTTCAGACGATGTGTACGTAAACCTTCAGTATTGGTTTGAAAAAGAGTTTTGATCCCAGAATTATACGTAGCATATTTTAGTCTCAGCATAATTAAATTTGAACCTAAAACCACTTGAACTCTTGAGTGTCATGATTGTCACCTCATCCCCTTGATCCCAACTATGTTGGGTTGGCAGCATGAATATCTTATATACAATTAATTGTCTACCTTTCTTTAATGCTATAAAATCATGCAAAAAGCATGTCGTACATATATTAATCTTCAAACAACAACAACCCAGTTGAATCCCACAAAAGTAGGGTCTAGGTAGGGTGTGTGTACGCAAACCTTACCCCTACTCGAAAGTAGAGAGGCTATTTCCAAAGAGACCCCCGGCTCAAGAACCACAGGTAATCATGTACGGAGCCTGATCCCTTATGTTTAAAACATAGAACGGATTGTTTCCGGTGACCCATGATGAGCGTAGAAAGTTGCATTGACTAACTACTACTTCACTTTTAAAAGAAGCAATTTAATGAGCCATATCTTAATCTCCTAAAGAAGGAATAATGAGATGAAAATTCAAAACCCACATGTCATAGATTTTCTCCACTTTCATAGAATATTTCAAGACAACTATGAGTTGACATAGTTGTTATAGTCATGTCTCGTTGCAAGATTTACATTATAAAATCAACAATTACATATTGGAAAATTTAAAAAGTCAATATTCTTTCCAGATGCTCCCTCTTTCCCCAAATAAATGTTACAATTACTATTCTAGCGTTACAATAACTTTTGTTTACTTTTTGTAGAACGTTTGACGTAGTTTATAAACATGTAAATTTTGTTTTTTTATTTCAATACCAATTTTTAAATAGATCTAATTAAAAAACACTTCATTGTACCTCCCAATTCCCTCCATAACTCTTATTTGGGGACGGAGAGAGCATAAAATACAGAGAAAAACATATGTTGATGGGAAAAAGGGAACCGGAACTTTAGTGTCAACTGTCAGGTTAAGAAAATATACTCACAATGTTATGTGTCAGATCCATACTCCATACAAGTATACAACATTATGGGTTAATACAACATTATGGGTGTATTTTTTAAATATGAAAATGTATGTATAGATGTACCTTTTGAGTTGGCCATTGGTTGAAAAAGAAAAAGCACACCAAAGAAACTGGTGGCTAGACCTGCAAAGGCAGCACAAATGAAAAACCATGACGAAAAAAATCTATAGTAGTGCTTGGTTGGAACACGGAGGGGGGAGATTTTTTAAACCGACCCATAAAAAATGTAGTAGGGAATGGAGGGAGAATGAAATGGTGATTCACATCTTTCTTTGCATATTTTCATTGATAATTTGACAAATTAATACTCATGTCACTTCTTGTTTTGTCGAATAGATCTTTTGGTGTAATTTTTAAATACTACATAATACATATATAATATGGGTATATTTTATTTTTTCATTACTACATCAACATTAAAATAAATTGAACTAAAAATAGTTTCAGTCAAGCTTTGTTAACCGCAAAGTGAAACTCTTTAAGGCTATATGGTATTGATCCCTTCTTCCCCTTCTGTAGACATGAAGCCACATCATCTTTTCCTTTTATTTCCCCTTCCCCTTTCAGGGGTGTGGTTCCCTTTCACTTCCACTTTTAATCTGTTTAACTTTTTAACGCTTAATTTTATTTAAATTAATCAAACTAAAAGCATAAAATACATTTAAATAGTACACACTTTAAAAAATTGAAAAATGAAGCAACCAAAAAAAGAAGAAAGAAACGAGAAGAACACACGGAAAAAAAAAGAAACACAACATAAAAGAAACGGGGAAAAGGGGGAACCTGCTCATCCCATTCATGCTGGGGGGGGG